ATAAAATGGAAACTGCTTCAAGATATTTTTTTAAAAATTAGATCACTCAAATCCCATGAAATATCTTAGACTTATAAATGGTTCCAATAGTCCCATGTGGCAAATTCAAGATAGAATGAGTTTTATTGCTTTTGTTAAAAAGCAAATGTTCTCTTTGATCTTGGAAATATTTCTTTTAAAAAGAACAGAAGTTATGAAATCTCAACCTTTACAAATAGTTAGAATTTCTCAGAAAAAAAAAAAAAAAGATTTGGGGTCGATGGACACTGATTGTACATGGACGGTTAAATCACATTAATAGATTTGGTTGTTTTGTGGAGATTTTCAAAATCTGGACAACTGCCCCAGAAAAAGTCTCTTCCTTCATCCACTTGAAATCCAACAGTTCTCAGACCAAAGCTGAAACCCAGCCACAGACGCTGTATCGCATTCCAGCCCCACACCTGGCTCCGCCGACACCCGTCCCCCGCCTATGGGGACCAGGCAACCCTGTCCCCGGACATTTCCTGCCTGGAGTCCCACACACAGTGGGGACCCACGACTTATGACTCAAGGCAAACAGGGAGGGCTTCTGGAATTACTGTTACGACTTCAGAGCATGCACTGAGACAAAACTCAGACCACAGTCAGACACCCAATGTCTACAGCTGTTATATTCTTTCCAGTAAATGGATACATTGTGAGGGAGACAGGGCCCCCGTTCTCCTGGGGTGTTTTAAAATTCTTCGTCATCGTTTGTATTTTCAGTCGATCCAGGGAGACGGGTTGACTATTAATCTATGACACAGATGAAATGTCAAATTCACAAAAGTGATGTGTTCCCAAACTTTGGAAGTCGCTTGTTTGAGGAAACGCAGAATATAGTTTCCTCCGATAAGCAATATTATAAATGATGGTGAGCTTTCCAGCCCTGCCCAACAGAAGCCTTCTTAACTCGTAATGTTGTGGAAGCCCTGTGCGTTTCTACAGTGACAACGGGTAGAAGGAAGTTTTGTTGTAGCACTAAAAAACAAGCGCAAATACTGGAGACAAATTCTCATTCATCCCAAATTCTATTTCATGAAACCACCGGTTAGTGAAAGAAGATGAAGGGAGAGATGGGGACTTTCTAGGGAGAGACTTCTGCTTGGAGCCTACAGTAGCCTGTTATTTTGTCTTTTCCAGTTTGACTTTGATTTCATTTTGATGCCTTTTTTCATTCCCTCCCTACCTGGGTGAAGCAAAGGAGCCCTGATTAGGGTAGATTTGGGGCTCAGCAAAGAATGGGGAGGAAAAGCAAAAAGTTTGAAAGGGATTTCCCTGATGGGTGATTAAATCGTGTGGTGTGAAAAGACTGCCTAACTTGACATTAACTGATCTGCTAAGGGAATCGAGGGGAAGTCGGGAGGCCCAATATTAGTGCCCCAGGCCGTGGAGTGTTTGGTCAGACAGTTCCCTCTCTGACCATAAGGTGGTGCCATCAGCCCAGACAGCCACTCCAAGGGGGCAGGGCCTGCAGTAGGAGGAGCTCTCCACGTGGAAGCCACATTTTCCACCCAGGCTCTAGAACTCAGAAAACCTGGACTACGCAGCATGTATCAGCCTACAGGTCATTGCCTCATCACCCAACAACTGTTCACATCCTCCATGGCCCCGCCTGCTCACACCTGAGCAAGAACAGCCTCTGTGCCTTCGAGCACCGAAACCCACATGGAGTCCAATTAATGACTTCCATTCCTCTCATCAGTATCCTTCCCAAGGTCAGCACTGGGCCCCTCACAGTTCCTAATTCCAAAAGGGAATCTGGTCTCAGAGCCTCCTGGAGTCTCATCCTTAAATGCTGTCATGATGGGAAGACAAGGTCTTGTATGGTGAGCACACATTTGTCACAAAGGCCTTGATAACAGAGACCCGATCGCCCTTGCGAGGCTTATCTTCCAGTTTAACAACAAACTGAGCAACCCTATTCCAGACACAACTCCTGCCCTCTGTCTCCCCCTGCCCTCCCCTGCCCTCCCCTACCCTACCGTCCCTTCCCCTCCCCTCCATGCTGGTCCTCCCTCCTGTGATGCCCTCTCTCTTTTCCTTCCCCCTCCTTGTCAGTATCCTCTTGCCTTTCAAAGTCCAGCCCCAAGCGCCCCTTCCCCAAGAACTATTCATGAGGTGTTTAACTCAATCTAACTGGTGAATCAGAGTCAGAGAGTGAAATGTGGGTCCCAGGCATCAACCACAGAAGGCAGGCCTGCCTCACCCTTTCTAAGGCTGCTCGGGTCTTACGCTGAGAAGGCGAGCGGATCGGGGCAGACTCCCTGCTGAACCTCAGGGCAACACCAGCTGGTCTGGCCTTGCTCCTCCCAAGTCTCAATTCCCATCTAGGGCAGACACCAAAGCCGCAAGCTCGGTGTGTGGCACAGTGTCTGTTCTCAATTCATGTTGGCTTTATAATAATAACAATGTTACTATTATTACTGTCCCCTCTCCACCCCCACTCTCATCAGCCACAATCTGCCAAACCCGGCCTCAGTTATAGAGCTAAAAGAATGAGGAGGGAGATCACAACCAGGTCACCATTCTGGGCTCCCGTTCCCCCTATCCCCCCAGCCCTGGGGCCTAGACTGGTAATCCCAGCACACTGCCTACTAATTCTGCAGAATGTTTTCTGCCCTGATGGGGCTGACTGGGATGGGTATTCTCCTCTGCATGTCAGGCTCCGGCCAAGTGGCCTGGAGATGAAACCTTTAATTAGTGCCTAGACTTGCAACAGCTTGAAATCTAGCCATCGTCTGTCTTTTACTTCTAAAGGGGCAGTTGGCTCAGGTGGGAGACACCAATGTCCCCTGGGATGAATTTTTAAATTATACAGGACCTCTGAGGTGGCAAAAGTACAGAGCCAAAGGCCATGAGCAAGCAGGAGCCCAGAGACATCCAGGTGCCCTCAGCACCTTCCATCCAATGGACTGAAGTGTCTGCATCCAGCAAAGGTGGCCTGACTCGCAGTCTGGACCTCTCCTATTTCTGTTGTTCAAAGAACCAGGTGACCAGATGCCTTTTTCACTGCCAACATTGCTTATGTTCTCACCTATGAAACAGGCTCCGCGGCAAGAAAGCCTATCCAAGAAATTGGGGGGGCTCATGGAGTTGGTGAGAGGCCTGCATGCTGCTCTTTGTTAGGTTTTTCGTTTAAGGATCTGCAGGGGTTGGTGTTTCAAGAACAAATCAAGGAAGCCAAGTTCACTCTGCAAACAAAAGCAGGTTGGGAAACGCGAACCACCTGTGTTAATGTATTTGTGACCCACCTGCTTCCACAAAAGATCTGAGGCTGCATGAAGTAATTGCTGTTGGAATCATGGGCATAAGTGGTGCGTTTCTGCCACCGCTGCAGACTCACACCTTCAAAGTGACCATTTATTGGGGCTCTGAAAGTCGGACAGGGATGGTGGACTGTGGCTTCCGACGCTGCAACCCTGGAGAGCCCACTCAGAAGGCGCCTTCCCCACCCCCTCCTCTCCTTCCTCCGGATTGGGGGCTACTGGACTGCGCCGAGCCGCACAGCTGCGGCCAGCGGCGGCCACCCTGGCTCCCCCTACAAGCCCTCCCCCGCCTCTGCCTTCCCTGTGCCAGCAGCCCCGCAAGCAGAACAGCACCGGGAGGACGACCTGGCCCGCACGTCTCCGCACCCCCTCCCCCAACCTTGTCACATGGCGGCCCCAACGAGGCACGCCATGCATCCGGCCGCGGAGACCCAAGGCCGAGTCGCCATGGGCGGTGGGTGATGAAACCTCCCGGGCGCGTTGCCACAGAGGGTGCGGGCGGGGAGCCGGGCGGTGCGTGGAGTGGGAGCTGGTACCTGGGCTCACCTGTTCTCTTGCAGGAGGGTGGAGAAGGCGCCCTCCCCCAGCCCTGCGAGCCCCTAGAGCTGCGCATCGGACTGACGGTGCCCGGAGCAGTTCCTGTCCCCGGCCCTGGCGCCGGGGAGACGTGAGCGTGCACACGTACACACACAGCGGGGGAAGAGAGGCTCCCAGCGGCGCCCAACTTTCTCCCTGCTTCCGCGGGCCGGCGGAGGCGGCAGCGAGGGGGAGGGGGCGACTCCCGACCCGGGCGTGCTTGGGGAGGGAGCTCCGACAAGAAAAGAGAAGAGATGGGGGGGAATTTTCCTTGGGCTTTGTTGGGGGTGAGTTTTTTTTTTTCTTTTTTTTTTTAGCCGTTTCCATCAGATGACTGGGGAGTAAAGGGACCCCAGAGCGGGACGGCGAGTAGCGCTTGGGGAAAATGGAAGAGTGTGTTTGGAGACGCGGAAAGTTGCCTTTCAAGCTCCGACCTCGGGGGCAAGCGATGCTCTGCGGCGGGCTGACTCAGAGCTGCCTGGGCCTCCCTGCCGCCTGGAAGTGATGCAAGTTCAGCCTGTCACCTGGATCCCTGCAGCCCGGCCCGAAATCGGTCTGGATTGGGGGAGGGGCGGGAAATTGGCACCCTGGGTGTAGCACGGCCCGCGACAGCGCTGCATAAAGAAAGGGGAAAGATGAGGCAGTTGCTCGGGCCAAGTCTTATATCTAGTGCTTCTGCTCTTAAATAGTTTGAAGGATTTTTAATTCAAAGCGTCACAACGCCAGGAATCCCCATATGTGCTCAGTTTGCCCTCAGCATCCCTGTGTCCAGGAAACTCCTCCAATCTGTCAAGGTCTGGGGGCTGGGACTCTCCCTGAATTCCAAACGGCGGAAAGAGGAAACTTTCCCAGTCTCCTGTGGGTGAGATGCGATCCAGGGGCCGGGGGATGCTGTCCCAGCGCAGACCTGCCCCTCTGGCCTTTCTTTAGCTGCAACCGGAGCTGCGATTCGCTTTTGTTTTTAAGCCGGTTCGGCCATTGCCCTGGAGCCCCCGCACACGCGCACGCTTCTCCGGCCGTGCTCACACGCACTCACACACGCACGCAAACGCGTGGCCGCTGCTAGGTCGGCAACTTTGTGGGGCGCTCCCAGCGGATCTCGGCTGCCTTCTGTAGTAGTTGGGCACAGGCCCCGCCCCCCAGCCGTGTTGTCAAACGGGCTGGGGTCTCGGATTGGTCCAGCCGCCGGGACAACACCTGCTCGACTCCTTCATTCAAGTGACACCAGAGCTTCCAGGGATATTTGAGGCACCATCCCTGCCATTGCTGGGCACTCGCAGCGCTGCTAACGGCCTGGTCACATGCTCTCCGGAGAGCTACGGGAGGGCGCTGGGTAACCTCTATCCAGCCTCGGCCGCGAGGAGGAGGGAAAAGGCGAGCAAGGAGGAAGAGTGGGAGGAGGAGGGGAAGCGGCGAGGGAGGAGGAAGAGGGGGAGGGGAGCACAAAGATTCCAGGTCTCCGGGAGGGAGGTTTACACCAAGAACCATGTGTGCCGAGCGGTTGGGGCAGTTCGTGACCCTGGCTTTGGTGTTGGCCACCTTCGACCCGGCACAGGGGACCGACGCTACCAACCCGCCGGAGGGTCCTCAAGACAGGGGCTCCCAGCAGAAAGGCCGCCTGTCCCTGCAGAACACAGGTAAATGCGTGCGTCTCCGTGGCGGGGAGCTGCTGGGAGACGACACCGGGCACCCACGCAGCGCTGCCCGGGTGCTTCGCCCAGAACTGGACGCCTGCCTAGGTCCGTGCAAACTCTTGGGGCGGCACGGGACGTGCAAAGGAGAACGTGAGCGGAGGCGAGGTCCGTGCCGGGCTCCGCGCGCCCGGAATCCGCACGTGCTGGCAGGGTGATGAAATAGCTGGGGCAGGACTTGTTGCTGTCCTCCCGGGGTCGAGGGGAAATGAGGCAGCGCCTGACGCGACCAGTGCCGACCCGGGACTCCCCGGTCCGGTGTAAGCTTCCTGCTCCATCCCGGTCGCCCTGCCGCAGGAGGCACGGAGCGTCCCGGCCCGGGCTGCCCCTGCACCGGGAGAACTTCTCTTCCCATCCGGCCGGCCCCCGGCAGGACCGCTTCTCCCCCTCCTCAAAAGATGCCCGACAGCCGACAGCCAAGAACTTTGTAGACAAGTCGTTGCATAGCCAACTTTCCCGTGAGGGAAGCATTGCTTTCGGGAAAGGGGTTGAAGGTAGCGCAAAGCGTACCTCTGCGGTGCTGCCGCGGTCCCCGCTCCGGGGCAGGTCAGCAAGCCAAGAAATGGTGACATGGCCCCCACTGCGCGCCGCCGCTGTTCAACCGGCTCTCTGCTCACCGGCTCTGCTCACCGGCAAGCTGCTGAGCAGAGAGAGCCGGGCGTGCAGGGCATGGGGCTGGCCCTTTTCCCAGCTCCGGGGGAAGAGAGAAAAATCTGCCTTGGCTCTAGGCGGTCCCCCTTTAATTAAGGGACCTGCGAATCCCGCAACAGCGTGCGTGCGCTCACTGCACGAGCAGAAATGCACGAGTGCCCATTAGGGACTTCCCAAGTGAGTGACTCGACTCGCGGCCCTGCGCGTCCGCCCGGCACGCTGGGGCCACGCGTGGGATCACTCAGGAGGCCCCCCCCCCCCCGCCTCCATTCGCGAGTGCTGCTACCCATTCTGGTCCCCGCTGCTCCTCCGCGGACCCTCTCCCACCCTTCTCCCTCTCCAGCTCTTTCCCCAAGAACTGAACGTAATTCTCAGTAGTTGGCGACCCTGAACAAATACACGCCCCCCCGCCCCCCCATTCTCTAGGTAGCTTTAAGCTGAATGTGCAATATCTCCTCTTACCCCGCCCTTCTTTTAAAATATACTTTCTGGTGTAATTTTGTGGTCTGTTTAAGTCTGGGAATTGGCCCATGGGGGAGGGAAGGAAGAGAGGCTTTGCCTCGGCAGCTTGACAGTTAACTCCCTCAGTCTGTCCTTTCCGACAGACGAATTAGGGCCACATTTTTCGAAGGAGGGCAGCAAACTCCAGGTCTCGGGAATTCTAGGGGATTAAGTGACATCTCACACCGGATCTCTATTTAAAAGGAGCTTCTGACTGCGACCGGTTGAGTTTCTGCAGGCTAGCCCCCATCTGACTCCATTCAGGGCTTGCTAGCCAACCAGTTTCCCTAGCCTGGTCTTCTTCATGCGATGGTTTGGAGGCACGCACTGCCTTAATAGGAATTTTGCTTTGATTTTTAGGTGTTGAATCATAAACCTGAATTGAAGCTGCTTTTTGGATGCTCTCGTTTGGGGGCCAGAAAGGAAAAGGCTGGGATTTAATAGCAGTAGCTTCAAATTCCAAGCAGAGAAGGACATTTCATTGATGGCCTGCAGGAGGGAGGGGCATGCTGATCATTTAAACTCTTATTTTTGTCTGTGGGTTTAGAAAGCTGAATTATCTTCTGTTCCCAAGCTGAGAATTCCCACAAACGCTTTAATAAGATGGAGAGGATGAAAAATTAGGTGCTCAGACCTAACGTCTGGTTGTGATCTTTGTCACGTAGGTCTGGTTAATTTTTCACAAATATTTACACACTACAGCTATTTTCTCATAAGTAGATTAAATGATGACGTTTTCTGTCCCTGGCCTTTTAGATCCTGAAATAGTCATCCCAACTTTTCTTTTGTTCTGACATTTTCTTTTGGTCATTACTTTTATTTCAACTAACCTTTCTGCGTCCCCGGCGTGGCTGATAATTTTGTATATCGTTCTCATTCTAGCGGAAATCCAACACTGCTTGGTCAACGCTGGCGATGTGGGGTGTGGCGTGTTTGAATGTTTCGAGAACAACTCTTGTGAAATTCGGGGCTTACATGGGATTTGCATGACTTTTCTGCACAACGCTGGAAAATTTGACGCCCAGGTAAAGACCATAAAGAGCAAAGAATGTCTGTGGCTAGTGCCGCACGAATGAAATGGAATGAAATGCTCGCTGGAGAGACTTGTTAACAAGATCTCCTTAGCTGATGGCTGTGGTGTTTTTGGTGCTTGCAAGAGACATTCTAGGTACACAGTAAGAAGCCAGCCCCTCTCACTCCTGCCCTGGACTTCTGCTCTCTGGAGCCGTTCTCTAGGCTAAATCCTTCTCCACTCTTAAGCTGTGTCTATCCAGGCAAGTTGAACAATTATCTGAGGATTCTTGGCCAAGAAGGTGGAGGTCTCACAATCAGCATCTTGTAAGAGGGCACACTTTGTCAGGTCCTCCAGAACCCAGTCTGCAAGGCCCATCACGTTGGGAACACTGGGTGGAGGGGGGAGGGCTGAGATTCCCATTATACATTCCAAAAGCTGTTTTCACCTAATAGGCAAAAAGACATGAGACACACAGCTCGGAGAAATGCAGCTTCTCCTAGCAGATGTGTGGGCAGCCGCACGGCTAAGTCAGGACTTCCAGAAGAGCAGACTTTTCTCCCTCCGAAGCCGCGATCCCTCCTTTCCCAACCTGAAAAGTCAAAAACCTGAATAACTCCAGCAATTCTACACTTTTCTTTTGCTCTATATAATAAATATAGTCAGGGCCTGACCCATTTTGGTTGTGCCAGGGTCCCAAGGGCAAAGCCCAGCTGCTGCGTGGGGCAGGAAAAGAACCCGGCAGCAACCTTACGACTCCAGTGCTGACCATTCGAATACATTTCAGATGGCACGAGGCTCACCGTCTTTGTGTCCTCCCCAGCCTATATGCACCGCGAAGCCCCCAGTCATGCCCATAAACTTCCTCTCCCTCTCCACTGGAGAGTGAGGACAACGTCTGGATGAAGCCAACGGTTTCATTGTGACTTATGAACGTCACCAGTCACCACCTACTGACATCCTGTGGAGAAGCCTAACAAAGCAATGCCTGAGAACCAGAAAGGGGTGCGGCGGGGCTGGCAGCCTACCCCACAGAGGATGTGGGGTGGCTGGAAGGGAAACAGAAACCAGCGAAGCAAAGAGTCTGTGCATTCAAACACCTTGAGGCATCCCTTCTGGATTAACTGGCATTAGGAAGCGTCAGAGGAAATCCGGAGGAAAGATGTGTGTTTCAGGGCGATCCCACAGGATGTCAGGGAGCAACACCAAGAACAGATCGCCTCAGTCCTCCCATAAATTCATCTTCCCTTTGATTCTCCACCAACGGGCATGTCCTCAAGTCAGGAGCATCCCTTTCAAGTTAGTTCTCAGTGCATAGCTACTTCATACGCCGGCACACCCTACCCTCCATCCGATTCCCACTGGAGAGAGTCAGAGGCCAGCGGCCAGAGAGGTGGTTTTCAGTGACCAGACACTATCTGTGGACATTTCTATTGCTTCCAAAGGATAGAGCTGAGATAAACGTGCTGGCCGACTTCCCACTCCCAACCAAAACCCGTTTACTTTTTCAATTCTGCTCCTTCCCGTTTCTATAGTAATGGGGGTGCGGCATCCCTGGGTAGGTATCCCACAATGCCTCTCTGCCCCCGAGGTTGGTAAGGGAGCTAACTGCCTAGCTCGCCTCCACACCCCCAACAGCTGTCTCCTTTCTAGGATAAGAACAATTTAAAGGGGTTGCCAGGAAAGAGAAGTGTGGGCCAGATGTATGCCTGGCTGCCTTCGCCACTCAGAGGCTGGGCATGGGGGAGGGGCTGGCGGTCGGGCCAGATGCTGCCAGGCAGTGTGCCAGGCGGGCCTTTTAGAGGCAGTAGTCCTAAGAGTTTAGAGGAGTCTAATTGTTTTCCAAAAGGAAAAGAATGCTCCTCCTTGAAGAATGGAGGAGACGATCGTACGGGTGGGGGTGCCAGGAGGCGCTGGGGCAGGGCCCAGGCAGCAGCCCTCCTGGTGGACTCGAAGGCGAGAGGACAGGGGAGAGGTTTGGACAGGCAGCTACCTTCTACTTGAGGAGAACGCTTGCTGGGACCCACCTAGGCGTTCTGGAGTTCTGTCTGGCCAAAGTCTCTCTGCCTTCCAGAAAAGTTGTCACCAAATGGCCAACCCTGGTCTGTCTGCCTTGGGGACAGACGGACAGCACGAAAGCCCAGCCCCAGGGACTTTCTAGTAGAGCAGGCGGGAGGAAGGAGGCAGATCTGTTAGTCTCCCCGAGTGACATCCTCTTTGGCCAAATGCCAGAAGTATCACCTCACTCTGGGCACACCTCCTGCTGAAGCGTCAACCTGCCACCTGCATGGATGGCAGTCGGCAGCGGGGCCTTGGGGTTCAGCTGTGAGCCCAAGAGGGTCATTGTCTAAGCGCATAACCAGGCCATGTCTCTTCTGCCCCTCTCCTTGCTCTGTCCCCTGTCCTCAGGGCAAGTCATTCATCAAGGACGCCTTGAGGTGTAAGGCCCACGCTCTGCGGCACCGCTTTGGCTGCATAAGCCGTAAGTGCCCGGCCATCAGGGACATGGTGTCCCAGCTGCAGCGGGAGTGCTACCTCAAACATGACCTGTGCTCGGCCGCCCAGGACAACGCGCGGGTGATGGTGGAGATGATCCACTTCAAGGACCTGCTGCTGCACGAGTGAGTGTCTGCTGGGCTCCAGGGCCCGTGCGGAGGGTCTGGCCCTTCCTGCGCGCTGGGTGAGGCTGCGGCCCTGGCTCCCCTGGGAGTGAGTGCCTTTCCTGCTGACCAGTTTGTACCATCGGCTTCGAACCGTAAGCAATAGGAACAGGAAACTGTTTTACTAAGCACGAAGTGGGTGGGATGCAGAAATGCCCTTCATCTGCTCCTCGGCCAAGACCCCGCCAGTTCCCCGAGTGTTCCCGGGAGCTCTGTGGGTGCCCTGGCAGACCGCCGGCCGCGAATAACGTCCGTCCAGCATTTAGCGAGGGCCGGACGTGGGGCTCAGTGCTTCCCGTGAATTTCTCACTCGATCCTCACAATAGCCCCGTTCTGGTACTAGTCCCATCTCCATTTCACAGATGAGGAAACTGAGGTTCAATGAGGTGGAGGTCACAGACAGTGAGAGGCAAAGCCAGGATCGGAGCCAGGCAGTCCAGCTCCAGACCCGACACTCATCAAGGCCAAATGCTGAGAGCGTGTTCTGTTCCTGCCTCCAGAGCTCTCCTTGCCCTTAGACAGTCCAGTGCTCCTTCTCCGGCACCCGAATGCCCTCTCTGAGAAAATGCGAAATGTCAAAATCTCTAATCGGCCAAACACCTTTCCGCCAAAGCGAGGAAATACGGACTCACTGACTCAAAGCCTTGGAATTCAGTAATAGACGCAGGCAGTCTCTGTCCTTAAAAAGCGTGCCATCGCTAGGACCCGAGAGCTTGCAGAGCGGCGAAGCCTGGGGCACACAGCTGCCCCTAACATGAAGCGTGGTGGATGGCTCCTGAAGGTCATGGTGGCTTCTTCCTTGGAGAATTAGCTCAGGAAGCAAGTGGCTAGCTAAGCAGCCCAGGACAAGTCATTGCCAGCTCGATAGCACTGTTGCTTTTTACACAGTGACTCCCTTTGGGCCACATCAGTAGTTTTGTGAACTTTTGCTCCTTGGTCTGTGCCATGCTCTCCCCCAGCTATGTCACTCAGCAGGCTGCTCCCCACACCATCCACACCACTTACATCGTGGGGGACAACCACCTGCTGTCACTGTCCACTAGGTCCTGAGGGTCTAGGTGTCTTGCCACACACACCCCAGCGAGTGTCAGATGATAAGATTCACCGTGAATCCACAGGCAGCTCCCGATGAGAGCAAAATAGCCTTTTCTTTGAGTTACACTCACGCATGATAAATATTTTTTTATTCTTCCAAATACCTGTAAAGAAGCCAAGCAACAACGGCATCAACAATAACAACGATAATGCTGTAAACTCATTTTTTGAGCGGGGCCAGGCCCCGAGCCAGGGACTTTTCCTGGATTATCTGTTATCTTTCCCAACAATGCTCCAAGATGGAGGTTTGTCCCCATTTAACAGAGGAGGGAAGTGAAGCCAAGAGTTTAAAGACCTCCCTCTGAGATCTGATTCCTACCTTCCAGCTGGGGATTGGTGAGACCCGTGCCTAAAGCCAGCTGTCAGGAACACACCCGAACCTCCTTGCTCCTGGCCCGTTCTCTCCCAACCAGACCTGCCAGAGGCCTGCTGGTCCCCATGCGTGGCCAGGGTTTTCCCCTTTTTTTATCCTCACCCGAGGACTTTTTTTCTTTTTGCACTTACCTTCAGACAGAGCGAGAGCCCGAGGGAGAGAGAGAGAAACATCGAAGTGAGAGAGACACATTGAGTGGCTGCCACCCACATGACCCCAACTGGGGCCGGGGACAAACCAACCGAGATACATGCCGTTAGCGGGAACTGAACCCAGGACTCTCTGGTCCGCAGGCCGACGCTCTAACTGCTGAGCCAAACTGGCCAGGGCTTCCCCTTTTCTCAAATGCATCCCCACTACACAAGGAGAGCACTGTGAAAGTCCCTTCCTCCCAGGTCCCCTGGAAGAGGCAATTGCCATGTGGCTGAGACACTCAGTTCATTTATCCCTCACCCGCGTTGCATCAGAGACAGCGGGCTGGCCTCCGGAATGGATGCTGGGAGCTAGTTCACAAGTCCTTAATATATCCTGGGAGCCAAGAAGACTGCCTTTCAAGAGGAAAGTCTTCTTTCAGAAAACTGCAGGTTTTAAAGTACCACCCCCCCACCTTCACATTTCAGAAGCAGCAAAGCCCTTGGCTTTCTGGAGTCTCATCCACGGAAACGTGGCCTATGAGGCCATGGGGACCCTTACTTCCAAAGGGGTCCTCCCATCATTTAGAACAAACATGTCACCCCCATCCCCAGCCCACTGTGGAAATGCAGGTGTCCCCCCTCCCCCCGAAAGGAAGCCTGGACTCTTTTAAGAATAGTCACTGCACTTTCCCAAGCCTCCTGCCTCCTGCGAAGCCAGCACCTCCAGGCCGTGGTGCCCCCTAACTCCAGCTCCCCGCTCACCCCCTCTACCGCCCCTGCTGAAGCCACAACTGTGCAGTGCATTCACTTGAATGAGTTTCCGGGGTTTTTTAATTATCTTTTTTTTTTTAATCCTCACCCAAGGATATTTTTTGATATTTTGTTCAGATAGAGTGGGAGGGGGAGAGAGAGAGAGAGAGACACATCGATGTGAAAGGGACACATCGACTGACTGCCACCCACATGACCCAACCAGGGCCTGGGACAAACTGCAACCGAGGTACGTGCCCTTAGTGGGAACTGAACCCGGGTCTCTCTGGACCGTAGGCCAACGCTCTAACCGCAGAGCCAAACCGGCCAGGGCTTATTATCTTAACTTATTTTGGCACAAAGGATCGAGACAAGAAAAATGAGAACTGAATTTGCATTTCACGTTAGAGAGGAGGCAATCACAGTCACCCCACTATCCACATCACCCCCATTCCTCAATCCCACCCCCAGCCACCCAAACACTGTCACGTTCCCTTAGACTAGTACCCTCACCCCTTCTCACCCCAATTTCTCCATGTCCGCCGCCTTAGCCACCACACCGCCTGTTGCTGGGTGCTGGCAGCCTCCAGGCTTGTCCCCTTCTAAGTCTTTTTAAAACTCCTTTAGCCTTGCTGACACCCAGTTCAGAGAGCTGGGCTTTGTCATTAGACACGGGCTGAACTCACAGCCTGAGAAGGCATCGTGCCAGCTCACAGCACAGCGTAGATGAACACACGCCCCTCCTCGCGGTTCACCGCTCGCGGCGCCGAAGAGCGTGTGGGCTGGTCCAGCCTTCTCCGTCCACCTTGGGTCCCGAGAGCCATCTCGCAGGCCCACCGCCCTGGCGAAGGAGGCCAAGAGGCAGTGCGTTCATTCCCAAGAGAGCCCTCCAGTCCCCGGGGGAAGGAAACTTGCAGAGGAGCGTGGGTACGGTGTCCCCAGAAGACAGAGTCTCAGCCCTGCAGTTTGCTCCTGAGCCCAGAGAAGTGGGAGGCACAGTCGGCGAACTTGAGTTCCCTGAGACAGTCAGCAGCTCGTTTTCAAGAGATGGGAGGACACTGCATGAACTGAGCGTTCTCCCTGTGTTGGCCCCTGCCCTTCTCCCTCAGCCACGGTCCTTGTCCCCATTACGGGCCTGCCTTAGGGGGTTAGTACCCTGCCCATCAGCCACACACAAGCTTCCTGACTCCACAGGCCTCAGGGAGACCTTAAAAGGCAGCCTGATCTGTCAGCCAGAACATTCCTCCTCTCTGCTCTCAGCCCAGCGCCAGGCCTTCAGGTCCACACGCTTCCAAAGCCACCTTCTCCCTGCCTCCGTCCCTGTCTACATCTGAAATGAGGACAGTCCCCTCACTTACAACTCAAGGGCTGATTCATAAAAATGGCAGTAAACCACTTCCCAAGCCTTAGCACAGTCTGCCTTCCTGCCGAACAGCCACGGCCAACGAGCAAAGGCGAGAGTAAGTGGGCTGTACTGCAGCCACCCGGCTGGCCCAGACGCACAGGGGGAGACGTCTTGGTGCTTAGAAGTGCTCTCACGGTCCGGAGTGGTTTTCCCGCCCGCGGTGAGGCCCAGAGCTGTGATGAGCATGGGCATTAGATCCAGAAACGTTGATAGCCGAGGTCTGCTTGAGAATCCTGGGGAGTCTGTGCGGCATCCCATCCCCCGCCTGGGGATGTTAAAAGGCGGGTGAGATGTAAGAAAGGCTGAATGACTGGGCCAGGAGAGCCCATTGCTGGGGACTCCTCTTTCCAGCTGGGCCCATCAATACGAAAGTAGTGACTGCTCCCGCCTTCTGCACGCAGCTCCCAACCCCAGGAGGAAGGTTTGCAGGATGTGGTCATTCCTCTTGCATGGTCCCTAAAGACCTGCGGCTGCAGTCGGCTCTCCCTTCTGGCTCTCCTTTCGCAGACACATTGAGAAAGACAGCTGGCTTTCATTCCGCACACGCAGGCCCCTCGGGCCAGCCCTCACCTCCAGTTCTAGGGAAGCCCAGATGGGAAGATGTTTAGAGAGCCAGCCCTGCTCCGTAGCCCCTCCTACCAGCACAGAGAAGCTCCGTGGGATATGACATCCCAGGGAGGGGCCTCCCCCCACCCTCTCCACCTGGTCCAGACTTCACAGTGCATCCAGTGATGCCCAAGATCACCCTTCTTCATCATGAGCCCGAACCAGGGGCCAACAGACATGGGGACATGGTTTCGTGGGAGCCTGGCTTAGAGACGGCTTGTCTGGAAGCGTGACACCCAGTGCGGAGCTGGCTAGCCCCGCTGACGCCACGTGCGAGGGGACCATCCGGGGCTGCAATAGCTCCTCCTTCCCTACCAGAAAGACTCCTCAGTTTGGTATTTAAGACCCTTTACCATTTGCCTAATTACCACCCCTCTGGCCCCCAAGACCCATCGCCACACCCACCGAGACCCTCCTACTTAGCATACCCCGAAGCCCGCCCAGAGCTCTCGGTCCGCCTGTCCTCCTTGGCCCGGCTGCCCCACCTGGCGTTCTCGCCGCCAGCCCCGGAGGCTCGCCCTCTGTCACCTGCACCTGTGATTGTTTCTGGCCCTTTTCCTTGCCGTGGGCTCTGTCCCAGCCTCTAACGCTCTCCAATGCCTGGCATGGGGCCTGGTATGTGACGGGCACCCAGTCAATGGGGATTGAGACCAGTGCTCCACGGGATATGGGTAAAGCCTGAGCGAATTCCTACCAAACCAAACCCAAGCCAAGACTTGGGTTCACTGTCTCTGTCTTCCCTGCTGTGGCCACTGTCCTCCGAGGCCATTCGGGTCCGGTCCCATCCTCCGTCTCTCTGCTCTCAATCTCTAGACCCTACGTGGACCTGGTGAACCTGCTGCTGACCTGCGGGGAGGAGGTGAAGGAGGCCATCACCCACAGCGTGCAGGCTCAGTGTGAGCAGAACTGGGGGAGCCTGTGTTCCATCTTGACCTTCTGCACCTCAGCCATCCAGAGGCCCCCCACGGTGCCACCCGAGCGCCAGCTGCAGGTGGACAGAGCCAAGCTCTCCAGGGCCCACCACGGGGACGTGGGGCACCACCTCTCAGAGCCCAGCAGCAGGGAGACTGGCCGAGGTGCCAAGGGCGAGAGAGGCAGCAAGAGCCCCCCAAACGCCCATGCCCGGGGCAGAGCGGCAGACCATGGGGCCCAGGGAACTTCTGGAAGCAGTGAGTGGGAGGACGAACCGTCTGAGTATTCTGACATCCGGAGGTGAAACGAAAGGCCTGGCCAGGAAATCGTTCCTCTATGCCGTCCATTTTCTTCTCTATGGACATTCCAGAACATTTGCCATTAAAGAGGGGGGATGTCACACGCAGGATTTGGTGGGGATTGCAGACTGGATGAAGGTGTATGTTAGCAGAACGAACAGGTGAGGCGGAGACTCCCCGGGCGGCAGTGAGGTCTCGGCTGGGTCAGGTGGGGTCCACACTGGCGCCCCCGAGGCGAACATGCCAGGTGGGCTCCCCATAGCTTTGTCTCTCCCATTAGTGGAGCCACTGGGCACAGCCTGCGGTTTCCTCTGCTGGGGGGCGGTGGGTGGGGGCGGGGGCAGTGGGCCCACTCAGGTTGGACCACGCACTCGGTGCTGCCTTGGTGGAGGGCAGCGGGATTCCGGTGCAGAAATGGACGTGAATATCTCGCTGGGAAGGAGCAGGGTGGACAGGAGGCAGGGGCCGTGCGGGTGCTTGGTGTCAAAGGGAAATTCCGTTTCTTGCATGGGACCTAGAAGTTTGGAGCTGCTTGTGGGGGGCGGGGGAGGGTTCTGAGTGTAACTTCTGAGCCATGATTCTGTCTGGGGCACCCTGTCCGAGGGAGCGGCCCATGTATTTGTATTTTAACCACTGCTTCAAGTCTTGAGTTCACTTTTTTATTTATCCAGTTACATCTACATATCTGTCATCTAAATAAATGGCTTTCAAACAAAGCAACTGGGTCATTAAAACCAGCTCAAAGGAAAAGCAAACAAACAAAAAAACCCAGCCCCATCTTTGAGGGGCTGATTTTTTTCTTTTTGTAAATGCTATTTGAAAAGGAATTCTAGAACGATGTCACTGTACATCTTACTGCCTGGTGGAGCTCGTAGCTGCTTGGGGCGAACCCCACGCCCGGAGGAATCCGCACATAAGAACGCCTGACAGACCCCCTCAGCCTCTGGGTGTCTCGCCTCCGCCCGGCCAAGCTCGAGGAAGCGCCGTGGCCTGGATTCCCGAGGCCACGCTGCAGAGTTGGCCTCCACGCTGCGGGACGGACAAGGGGGAGAGGAGCAAGGCCACTGGGTATTCCCACCAGGGACCGGGGCCTTTCACACACATGGAGGAGACGGCCACAAATCTTGGAGGGCCAGGACTTGCCAGATCTGGATTGGCAACTTAGCAACGAGGAAAGGAGTCAGAGTGGACGGAAGAAAGGCAGGGAGGACAGGCCGCGGAAAGTACCAGGAGGATCACAGGGTCCGCGGAGGATTTCTCGCGTTAAAACGTTCAGACAGGGGCCTTTTCTTGTCTGTCCTCACAGGCGGCAGAGGGAAAGCGATCCTTTCCTGCAGCCGGTGCTCACACAGGAGCCCAGGGTGGGAGCAGGGGAGCGGGTGCTGGTCCAGGTCCTTCTAGTACACTGGTTCGGTTAGGCAGGTCCGGGTTGCTGTCGCGACTCTGCCGCTGTGGCACGAAGGTGCACAGACACAGGCGACGCCTGGCAGGCTCGGCTCTGCGCCAATACGATGTTATGTAGCAGGCGCCCAGCTGGACGTGGCTCCCGGGCCTGAGGTTGCTGACCCCTGTTCTAGAGAGCAGGCGAAACAATGTGCACCCTCCGCTTCCATCAGCTCACAGCTTGCCCTGCAGGCAACCTGAGGCTGAGATAAGGCAGCTAAATTTACCTCCTCTAAAATGCCCTGCTGCAGGGAATGCCATCACCCCAAAACCGGCTACCAGGTCTGTGCCCCGATCCTTGCTGCCAGGACACGGTGCCAGACAGTCATCCCTCCAGTCTTTCATGACCTGTGTGGAGTGTTGGGGGAGGAGAACAATACGCTGGAGAAGCACGTAGAAAGAGCTGGAGCTGCAGAAAGCAGAGGAGATGGTGCACTTAATCCAGCTGGGCCCGCAGGGCGGGGGAGGAGCGGTGTGCCATGGGAACCACCTAAACCGTGGCGGGCTCGTGCCACGGGCCAGGGCCACACCCTGACTTCTCCTGGCGTCACTCCGTCACCCCGCATTGCTGGGTCAGCTGTTCATTTGTTCTCTGGCAGCTGGACTGGATGCATGGAGGGTGCATGGAGGCATCACTCTTATGTTTCCCTCTGCGTCCATGTTTCCGGCGTCGCTTCTACGGCAGGTGTTTGTCACCTGCATGTATCACCTCGGTGCCTTCCCCCTAAGGCAGAGCACTGCTCACCGTGGTCCTTTGAACCCCGTCCTGGATCTCCGTGTCTGTTTTTCATGCCGCTGGTTTCTCCTTCTCCACATCGGGGAGCTAGCGTTTCTTTCTGGCGCCTGGTGGGTGGGGGCCGACCGTAGCGTCCATTGCTGAGGTTCCTTTGCTCAAAACGGAGGACAGTCCGAATTCCCGTAAGCGCGGGCGGACCGGCCCGACCCCAACCGCCAGCAAAGCCGTCGTTAAAGACAGAGCCTGCGCTCCGGCTTCGGACTTCATGCAGACGGACTCATGAGCCTTCCTTTGAGGAAGGATGTGGATTCCAAATAAAGATATGATGTTTATTTTGAGCTTTGCATCTTAACAAGATAATCTGGACACCTCTCCCTGGTGTCACTCAATAACCCTGTTCTTCTGAAAAGCGAGGGCAGAATCTACTGACCCCCAAAACTAAATAAACAGCAAACACCAGCCCAGACGGCAGTCAGACTTACACACACACACACACACACTCAAACCCCAGCCAAGCAAAAGGCTTCACTCACACAACTTGGGAGAACAATGCTTCAGGGCCCGTTTCCTAAGGAAGAGCCACCTCATCTGATCTCAGAACCGCCACCACGTGAGCCCGCCAAGTCATAATATCTGTTTCTGTTCTGGATTTAGGCAGCAGGACCTGTACATGGTCGCATGGCATTATTTTCTCCAAGTAGTAATAAAGGTTTTAAATAACGGCTTCCACTTGCGTAGTGTTATTGTCCGGAGGGCTTTGGGCGCCCAGGGCGAAGAGGGGGGGCTTCAATCACGTGGGCATCGGAGTCCTTTCAAAATGCCGAGCGTTTGGGGGTGGAGGGGACATCTGTAACACTGTACACAATAAAGATAAATTTTTTAAGAATTAGAAAATTAAATGCTGGATGTTCAGCTTACCAGACGGGGAACCAGGTGAAGACCTCTCCTCCCATCAGAACGACTGTGTCCAAAACCCTGCTTGAGTCCCCCTGAGACCAGGAGACGGAATGCCACGCGGCTGGCTGAAAGAGAGGTGAGGTCATTAGAGAGGTGAGGTCCTCGCAGTGCCTCCCAGTCTCACCGTTGTGTCTCCTCTGGGGCCTGGCCCCTGTTTTTTCAGACTGAGTCTTCACAGAGGCCTGGCCCAGGCAGGGAAGCCCCCGCCGCTCCCCCCTCTTCCTCGTTTGTCAGGACCCCAGCTGGCGCACCAAGTCCATGCTGGGCATTTTGCGTACGTGATCTCATCCTATGCCCCACGAGCAGGAGTATTATCCCATTTTACAGGTGAAGAAACCGAGCCATAGAAAGGTAGAGTGACTTATTCCCAAACCAGATGCCCAGTGGGCGGGGAGTCTGAACTCAAAGCCAGATCAGCGCCTCTAAGCCCTCATGCTTCTCCCCTCCAGGCCCAGATTCGCCACACTCGATTTCTTTTTCATTTAAATGACCCGTATTACTCCTATTTTACAAGAGGCCTGGAGAAAGAATAACTATACTCTTTTTTTTTCCTTTATTGATTTTAGAGAGAGGGGAAAGGAGAGGGAAAGAGAGATAGAAACATCGATGAGAGAGAACATTGACTGGCTGCCTCCTGCATGCCCCCCGCTGGGGATCAGGCCCACAACCTGGGTATGTGCCCTGACCGGGAATTGAACCAGCGACCTTTTGAGTCGATGCTCAACCACTGAGCCACACCAGCCGGACTAACTAAATTAATATTTATAGCAGCCAGCCTCCCACGAGTCCTGCTTTAGAACAGAGAGGAAAATGGATGCTCACCTTTCCTCTCTGCAAAGATGCAAATTTTGGTTCAGATAAGGGCGAGCAAGGAAACCAAGGCATCTTGTCGCTTTTCTGTGCTGGTGGGTAATTTCCCAAAGGGCTTCTCTGTGCCTCTGAGGAAGGCATTCGGGGAGCGGCTGGCTTTGGTGGCCACGCGGCGAGGACTTTCTGCTCTAAGACCACCCCTTGCCACCCCCGCCTGAGAAGCCAGGCTCCCCTGACGTCACCACCATCGTCGTCCTCGCCTGCGATAGTCACAGTTTCTTCCGCATCAATTATGTGCCCCCTCCGTTGCCTGGTGCTTTCAGAAATTATTTCTGGGCCCATTTTACACATGAAGAAACTGAGGCTCAAAGGCATCTCAATATGTCTAGCATAGGTCATGAGGCTACCGAGCTGGGGGGGGGGTACATCACCCCACCGCAGGGCTCGTCTGCCCCGCCTCGGTCAGCGTCTCTCACCCCAGGTATGAAAACGTGGGTTAAATGCACCCTGTTCAGAAAGACACTTCCTCCCCCAGCCCTTCCCTGGGCGCCAGGCCATCGGGCTGCAGATGAACAGGCTGTGGGAGGAAGCAAAGGGAAGGGCTTCCAAATATGCTGGGATCTCAACAAAGTTTCCAAAGGAAGCTGGAGCTGTGCGCCCCAAAATCTGGAGACAGAGATCTGACTTTGTTCTAAAGTCAACAGAAAAGACAGCCCCTGCTGAGGAGGGGACAAGTGTTGGCCCGAGAACAGGTTGCATGTGAAACTATGTGTTGTGGGCGGGGAAGAGCCAGACAAACCTCGGGCTGGGCGTCCTGCGTTGCCCTGTGCAAGCAGTGTGGTTTTCATCACGTCCCCAAAAGGACACACAGAAAAGTCACTCTCTAAAGAGAACGGGAGAAAAAACCCACGAGGCAATGTAGGCTTAGGCATGAACCAGGCCGCCCCAGGATGAACCCTGCCCTGGCACAGAACCCCAGCTTCGTGGACCTGAGGGTGTGCGCCCACCTAGCCACCACTAGACATCAAGGCTGCCTGGGCCAGCGAAACTGGGGTGACAAGAGGCGCCTCTGGGGAACTCTGAGGTGTCTACAAGGTGCTGGGGAGAATCAGCAGGTTCCGTTTTCCATTCAATAATTTCCAGGGTGCGTTATGGTTCTTAAAAGCACGGGGAGGGCCCACGTGAAAAGCAGTGGCACCCTAACAGGGATGGGGACCTCCTGCCTGCTTGTCCTCTGTGAATCACACTCAGCGAAGGCCCGAGGCTCCCAAGAGGGCGTCAGGCAGGAAGACTGACCAGGCCCTAGAATTCTCTCTTGGTTGCTTATTGCTATGTTGACAAACTACCCCCAAAACGTAGTAGATTGAAATGACCATTTTATCTTGCTCACAGTTTTGTGAGTAAGAAATTTAGAAAAGGCTCCGCTGGGTGGTTGAT